TGGTCAATGAGGACGCAGCCGCAGATGTGCCCACCGGGCTCGCTCTGCAGGGAGCACTGCCAGGGCCACCGGCCCGGACGGCTGGTCCGGCCCCCGAGGATCCTCTTGCTCATTCGGGCAGCGGGACGGCGCCCACAGTCTGCCGGGGAGCAGATGACACGGTGAGGGGCTGGACACCAACCGCGGCCGAATGCTGAGCTCTTCGCTGCCATGCACAGCAAACGATCGTGTCCCCCCTTCACGTGACAACGCTCCTGTCCCCACCACCGTGCCTCGATTTCTCTCACCTTGTCTATGACACAGAAGAGAAATCTTACTTCTGCTCTGGCAAGACTGCCTAGATTTGGAAAGACAAAATGGTAGAATATTAAGTCACGCATTGACTGTTTGCGTCAAACACTTTTTTTTCTTCTTTTGGCATATTATGGGGGTACAGATTTTAAGGTTTCAATAAATGCCATTTCTCCCCCTCCCCCCACAAGTCTGAGTCTCCAGCGTGACCATCCCCCAGATGGTGCGCATCTCACTCATTATATATGTATATACCAGCCCCCCTGCCCCCTCCCACCTGCCCAATACCCTATTACTGTAGTTCCTGTGTGTCCACTTAGGTGCTGCTCAGTTAATACCAAACACTTTTTAACCAGTGCAAATCGAGACGTTGGTTCCACTGTGCGTTGAGTGACAATGACCTTCGGCTGCAGAGATTCTCGAGGCAGGGGTGTGGTCAGCTCTCACAGCAAGGGCAGGGGTATTTGGAAGATATGCACTTTTATTTTTGCTTTTTAGTTTATTCGATATCATCTGAATGCAAGTTCATATTTACAGGAAAAGATACTATTGTAATAAGAGTTTCCCACATCGTTTTGGCTTAAGATACCACCCACAATTTTCACTGAAACTCTGATTCTCTTGTTTTTTTGGTTTTTTTTTTCGTTTTTTTTTTGAGACAGAGTCTCACTCTGTTGCCCAGGCTAGAGTGAGTGCCGTTGCATCAGCCTAGCTCACAGCAACCTCAAACTCCTGGGCTCAAGCGATCCTCCTGCCTCAGCCTCCCGAGTAGCTGGCATGTGCCACCATGCTCTGCTAAATGGTTGTACCATCCTTAAAAAAAATAACACATCCCTGAAAATAAGCCCTAGGGTGGGCTCAAGCGATCCTCCTGCCTCAGCCTCCCGAGTAGCTGGGACTACAGGCATGCGCCACCATGCCCGGCTGATTTTTTCTATATATTTTTAGTTGGTCAATTAATTTCTTTCTATTTTTAGTAGAGACAGGGGGTCTCCCTCTTGCTCAGGCTGGCCTCGAACTCCAGACCTCGAGCAATCCGCCTGCCTCGGCCTCCCAGAGTGCCAGGATGACAGGCGTGAGCCACCACACCCGGCCAGTCTCTGATTCTCAAGGAAGGCAGAGTAGGCCGCTTCTTAGAATCAATGGTGAGGAAGGAAGATGTCAGATTTTTATGTTTATGGGGAGGGGTACGTGCCCCCAACAAAGTGGAGAAACAGTCTGGGGAATAAAATATAACTTCAAGAATGTAAAGAACAAATAAAGGAATGTGGTATCTAGCCTGGAAAAGAGTCTTACCCAGACTGGCAAGGTTAAACCGTGGCTATATAGGAAGCTGACAGGAGGAAAGGAGACTTAAATTTATGTCCCATAACTCCAGGTGGCATGATCAGAACCAGTAAGTAAATCTTACAGGAAGTGTGGGTTTAGGAAAAGAAGAATTTCCAAAAAATCTAAAGGCAATAACATGGGCCATGTTCAAAGATCTCTCAGTGAGGTTGCACAGGAGAATTCCGTTGGGGTAGGTTCCATTTTAATCACTAAGTTCTCTTCCAACCGTGAGACGTTTATTCACAATGCAAACGAAAAAGGAAAACACCTTGGGACTTTAAAAAAATATTGTGATGTTCTTAGAACCCTAGATCTCTCAGATTAAAAAAAAAAAAATCCATCCCTAAATATGTCATTTCCACATTCCTTTTTGAAGATCTGTTGCATTTTAATTTCTTGCTAAATTTGCATAGGGGCATGTGTAATTATTTGTACGCAATGAATTATATAATATAGGAAAAGCTTATTTGCTTTCTACCTTCCCACAGTCTAAAATACTGTCTCCTCCATGTTTTCTACTTTATTATTCTTAATTTCTTTGGAGCACTTCCCAATATCAAAAATTACTTTTTTAAACTAACTTTTAATCTTTCTGTTTACCCATACAAGGTATGTCCTTTGAGATAAGGGCCTTTGTTTCTCCTCATTTACACCTACACCCCCTCAGAGTCTAACACTGAGCCTGGCATAGACGAGATATTCAATACTTAGTTGTTTTTTTATTAGGTTGAAAAATCACAGCTTTTAGAAATAGGAAAAGTAATCAAAGGCTATTCATTGCAACTCCCTATTGGAAACTGTGGTTATATAAGACTGCACATCTAATTAGTAAGTCAGGACTAGAACTAGGTCTACCAACTCTCAATTTAGAATGAGTTATTTATTTATTCATTTATTTGACCTGAAAGGATTTTCCTAGAATTCTCGCTTTGGGGAACTAAATCACTGTGTCGAAACATTCAGATCATTGTTTTTGAAGGAAATACTTCAGTTGACAAATCTTCAGCAATTTGCCTGCAGAGTTTGGTCTATGAAGAAAATGTCAAGACATTTTAAGGGGAAATAGTCCATTTTTGGTTTTTGGTTTTTTTTTTTTTCCTTTAAAATTCTTAAAAGGTGGTAGCTCTTCTTATAAGCTTTGGAGTAAGATAAGCTTAGTTTGAGTTCAGACACTCACACTCACCACTTGTGGGCTGTGGGCTTTGAGCAAGTTATTTAAATATTCTAAACCTTAGTTTCCTCGGCTGTAAAAACTGGGTAATTTCCCATAGTTCACAAGTTTACTGGGATAATTAAATGATCAATGTATGTGAGACTACCAAGCTATGTGCCTATAATGTAATAAGAACCTAATAAGTTGTTTAATTTCCTCAATTTATTTCCTACCATTTATTTCCTCAATTTATTTCTTTTTCCTACACCCCACCCATAGACAAAGGAGGAAAAAAAAAAACTCTGTTTAAGACGCCTTGATGTTCTTAGCGGAAACTTAAGTGTGCTTTCAAGGCTAGTTGATCATAATTTCATTTTGTGTCTATTCTGTTCTCGGACTTTCCGAGTTTTATTAGTTGCCGTCACTTCAATTCCCCTGCTGACTAGTCCCGCGTGGCCTCTTTGGGAAATGCAGACAAGAGAGTTTATTTCAAATAGGATATGGAAAAAAAAAAAAAAAATCTTTGTCTAGAAATAAAACCCATGTTGAAATGTAAAGGCCAAGCGGCCAGGCTCTGGAAGCTTTTGATTGGATTGTGTTCCGTTCAAATGGAAAAAAAAAAAAAATGGAAGAAAGGCCCAGATTATATAAACTCTTGCTCTGTAGTCCGACTGCACACGGCTCTCACGAAAGGGTTTTTTACCCGTTCACCAGCAGCCCTTGCAGAGTGGTCCCAGTGAGGTTCTCCCAGTTGGGGCGTAGCGTCAGCCACTGCTGGTCTTTCTCCTGCTCTGGTACTAACTCGGTCACAGCTGGTTCTCTGAAATAAAGCGAAGGCCAGACAAATATTCAAAGTGCAATGATCTTTGAATAGGGGAGCAGGCATCATCATTATTTAGAATTCATCATTCTCTTTGGGGGGGAAAAAAAGAAGCAGGAAGAAGCATTAAGGAATACATCAATATTTCAAGAAAGAAATTTGGACCAGGAGAGTCTGGGACTGGAATGGGATTAGCAAGAGAGGAAATTACTAAAGATATACAGAGGCAATAAAGACCCAAATGGTCATAGCTGTTTTAGCCATTCTCCCTGCTGACATGAATTTGAACTTCACGAGGCGTTAGAATTCGAATGCATATAACGTAAAAGGTTCAGCGCCTAAATGCAAGAACAGCTTTAAGCAGACACCAAAAGTAAAATAAAATGTATTCAACTGGGTTTTTTTTTTTCCTCCTCTTTCCTTGCCCACTGTAATCATGCAATAGAGCAATGCCTTAAAAATAAAATAAATAACACGGAGAATCAAAGGCCATTTCGTGTCTGTTTAGAAAATATAAAAGTTGTTAACTGGAACTTTTTGAATGTATTGCAAAATCTTTATGCACTCAAAATTCAGAAGGATTCTGAAAAGAGAGACAGGAGTTAGATAACATTATTTTGCTCTTTGTCTATAATATATTCTCACTCAATCTCCATCAATACTTTCCTGCGTATGTCTCTCATTCGATCATTCAAATAAATGTGGTTACACTGTACCCAAGATTCAAAACCATAGGCTTCAAAAGTATTTTGGTGTTTTTTGATTTTTGTTTTTGAGAGAGTCTCACTCTGTTGCCCGGGCTAGAGTTCCATGGCATCAGCCTAGCTCACTCACAGTGACCTAAAACTCCTGGGCTCAAGCGATCCTCCTGCCTCAGCCTCCCGAGTAGCTGGGACTACAGGTCCATGCCACCACACCTAGATAATTTTTCTATTTCTAGTAGAGACGGGTTCCTTCTCTTGCTCAGGTTGGTCTCAAACTTCTAACCTCAAGCGATCCTCCCACGTTAGCCTCCCAGAATGCTTAGGATTACAGGCATAAGCCACCGTGCCTGGCCAGTATTTAGGTTTTATAAAAACCTAAACGAAATAGCTGGTTCTTGCCTTAGCCAATGCATATTTGAAAAATATGGCCTTTTGGATTTTTAATTTAAATAAAAACATAATCACCGGATGCTATCAAGGGTAGAAGAGTTGGGGGGGGCTAATTTTATTTTATTTTATTTATTTTATTTTTTTCTTTTTTTGAGACAGAGTCTCACTTTGTTGCCCAGGCTAGAGTGCATGGCATCAGCCTAGCTCACAGCACTTCAAACTCCTGGGCTCAGCAATCCTCCTGCCTCAGCCTCCCGAGTAGTTGGACTACAGGCATGCGCCACCTGCCCAGCTAAGTTTTCTAGATATATATTAGTTGCCAGTATATTTCTTTCTATTTATAGTAGAGACGGGGTCTCGCTCTTGCTCAGGCTGGTTTCGAACTCCTGACCTCGAGCAATCTGCTCGAGGTCAACTAATATATATGTTGGTCAACTAATATATATATTAGTTAATATATATTATATTAATATATATATGTATATATTAGTAGGCCAACTAATATATACTAGAAAAACTTAGCTGGGCATGGTGGCGCATGCCTGTAGTCCAGCTACTCGGGAGGCTGAGGCAGGAGGATTGCTTGAGCCCAGAAGTTTGAGGTTGCTGTGAGCTATGATGACGACACGGCACTCTAGCCTGGGTGACACAGCGAGACTTTGTCTCAAAACAAAACAAAAAACCCCTATTTAATAATGAATGAGTTCTAAACATTTGATTTTAAAACAAATGTCATAAACCCTAGCCACACTGTAAGAAGAGTTTCACAAGATTTAAATTTATGTAAAAGTTTTAACGAGCTGTCAGAGTATTGAAGACATTCCCAAACCTACTACAAAATAAGAATTTCTCTTTTCCTGGAACAAAATGAAAGCCTGCCTTTCTACCAACTCCAGAAGTGTTGTGCGTGGCAGCAGAGTAGGGTGGATGGCACGAAAGTCAAGGTCACACGTACCAGTCTGGGGTTTCCCCTTATCCCTGCAGCCTGAGAATTCCTTTCTGCACTAGACTACCGTGTTTCCCCAAAAATAAGACCTACCCATCAAATAAGCCCTAGCAGGATTTCTAAGCATGTGCGCAATATAAGCCCCATCCCAAATATAAGCCCTAGTGACAGGCGTGGCTATGAAAATCAGCCCTAGTGATGGGCGTGGCTATGAAAATCAGCCCTGGTGGTGGGCGTGGCTATGAAAATCAGGCCTAGTGATGGGTGTGGCTATGAAATTCAGCCCTGGTGGTGGGCGTGGCTATGAAAGTCAGCCCTGGTGGTGGGCGTGGCTATGAAAATCAGCCCTCGTGATGGGCGTGGCTATGAAAATAAGCCCTAGTGATGGGCGTGGCTATGAAAATCAGCCCTAGTGACGGGCGTGGCTGCGCAGCGCATCTGCACAACCCATGCGTGTCGTCGCAGAGCGGGAAAGAACACGAGCAGCCCTTCTCATCCACCCCGTGAGAGCTCTAGTGCTCCACAGGAGAGATCGGGGCCAGTGGTTCTAAAAGAAATAGAGTCGCAATACATTCAGGATTGAATTCGGGGTTTGGAGAGTGATGATGATGTTCCAGAAGAAGACGACTTTACTCTATTTGAATCAATGGAGATGGTTGTACCGTCCTTAAAAAAAACACACATCCCCTGAAAATGAGCCCTAGGGTGTCTTCTTGAGGGAAAATAAATAGAAGACCCTGTCTTATTTTCAGGGAAACACAGTACCATGTGGACCTCCCAAAGCAGGAGTTTTTGTTGTCAAAGTGCCAAAGAAGATCAACTTTAGATGTTCTTGCTAAATCAAGTAATTCTTAAGTCAGGTATGCACAGGGCAAAAAGGAACTTCCATGAAGACCTTGTTAGATCTAGAACAAACCGACCTAACAGACATCTCCAGAACATTCTATCTCAGAACCACTGAATTATACATTCTTCCTCATCAGCACAAGGGACATTTTCCAAGATTGATCATATCTTAGGCCACAAAACAAGTCCCAGAAAATTTTTTTAAAAATTGTGATTATACCATGTATCTTCTCAGCTCACAGTAGAATAAAACTAGAAATCAATTCTAATAAAATCTAAACAATGTCATAGAAATCAAACAACTAGCTGTGGAATGATCCTTGTGTTAATGATAATATTAAGATGGAAATCAGAAGATTCCTCAAGCTGAACAACAAAGGGGACACCAGCCTTCAAGATCCATGTGATACAGCAAAAGTAGTCCTAAGGGGAAATTTCATAGCCTTAAATGCTTACATCAAAAAAACCAGAAACATCACAAATTAACAACATAATGTCAAATCTGGAGGAACTAGAAAAAGAAGAACAAATCAAAACCCAAAGGCAGCAGGAGAAAAGAAATAGCACAGCAAAAGAAATTAGCAACACAGTGAATAGACAACCTACAGAATGGGAGAAAATATTCGTAAACTATACATCTGACAAAAGACTAATATCCAGAATCTACCAAAAAACTCAAACAACTCAGCAAGAAAAAACAAACAACCCCATCAAAAAGCAGGCAAAAGACATGAACAGAAGTTTTCAAAGGGAAGATAGACAAAAATTACAGCAAACATATGAAACAACATGGCGTCAAATCAGCACAATTATACAGGGAAATGGCAAATTAAAAAACCACAATTTAGATTCACCGTACGTAGATGGCCATTATTTTTAAATTATGTATTATTTTTTTGAGAGAGTCTCGCTTTGTGTCCCCGGCTAGAGTGAGTGCCGTCCAGCTCGCTCACAGCCAGGTCCGAAAACCTCCTGGGCTCAGCGACTCTCCTGCCTCACCTCCTGAGTAGCTGGACTACAGGATGCTCCAGCCCATGCCGGCTAATTTTGTTCTAGATATATATTAGTTGGTCCAATTAATTTTTTCTATTTAGTAAGACGGGTGTCATCGCTTTGTCAGGCTGGTTTCGATCCTGGACCTCGAGCCAATCTGCCCGCCTCGCTCCCAGAGTGCTAGGATGACAGCGTGAGTCACCTCGCCGCCTGAATGGCCATTATTAAAAGGCAAAAAGACAAAGACGCTGTGGGTGGACGCAGGGAGAAAGGAATGCTTATACACTATTTGGTGGGACTGCAAATTAGCCCAAACCTCTACGGGAAGCTGTATGGCAATTCCTCCAAGGAATACAGGTCATAAAATATGAACCGTCCGATTTCAAACCAAAAGTGTAATTTATTACCTCTCAAACAAGAAGCAGTACAATTAATCAAGTGATGACCTAAACTATGCGACACGGAGTTTCTGCCATCTAACGGTAGGCTTGCTTATGCCCGACACAAGAACCCCTGGGAGGGGTAAAGTGGCAATGAATCGTGAAAGATTTCCACAATCTGTTGAGAATTCTGTGTATTTTCTTGCAAGAAGTGGTCCAGAGCCTGGAAGAAGTGCCAGTGAGCTGGTGCAAGGTCTGATGGCATACGGTGAACCTACAGAGAGTTTCCAAGCTCCAGCTCCTTGTTTGGAGTGTTGGTGTTGGTGCATCGTGCTGTCAAGGGGTTTGTCTTGCAACGAGGGCTGGCTGTCTCCATTGACCAATCTCGGCTGCTTAATCGCAATCATCCTCATCATTTTGTCCAGTTGGTTGCAGTAGACTTCCATCTGCTATAATCGATTGACCAGCTTTCATGAAGCTGTAGTGGATAAAACCAGCACGGGACTATCAAACAGACACCATTAGCTTTTTTTTTTGATGAATATTCGGTTTTGGACTGCGTTTTTTATCCAACCGTTGTGCTGAATGCTGGGAATTGTCAAAAAGAATCCATTTTTCACCACGCATTACAACACAGTGTAAAAAATGGTTCGCGTTTATGTCGTGTGGGCGAAGAAAGGCAAGCTTTGGGACTACTTCTCTTCGGACACTCATTTAATTCATGCAGAACCCATCTATCCAGCTTTTTTACCTTGCGGATTTGTTTCAAATGGTCCAATATTGTTGGAATAGCAATGTCAAGCCTTGCTGCTAATCCATGCATAGGTTGAGTTGGATTCGCTTCCACTACAGGTTTCGGCTCATCAATATCCACCTTGATCTCAGGTCACCCACATGGCTCATTGTCAAGATTGAAATCACCAGAATGGAACTTCTTGAACCATCGACATACTGTGCATTCATTAGCCTCATCCTTCCCAAACACTTCACTGATATTTCGAGCTGTCTGTGCTACATTGGTTCCAAAATGGATGGGAGAAAATAGCATACAAGCACCTAATAGCTACATAGTTTCCTTTGGGGGTAATGAAAATCTGCTAGAACTAGATTGGCAATGGTTGTACAACATTGTGAATAAAATAAATGCCACTGAATTGTCCACGTCAAAATGGTTCAAGTGGTGAATTCTGTGTTTATACATGTTTTACCACGATAAAAAAAAAACCTCCAATTTGCAAAAAAAAATTAGAAAAGATACAAAGCAGAATATTTAAAACAAGATCTCGTCAATTTGCAATAGAGCATGGTTATATCAAGGGTGGCTTGTCAAAAGAACTTTTCTGATTGCAAAATCTTTGTGATTTCAACTTTCCCTCAGAACTCTTAACAAGGTTATCTATTGCTGTGTAATGATGTTTTCACGTTAAGAAATAATCTTGGGTCTTGGTGAGAAGAAAGACAAAAACAAGAACATTCAAAAGGCTTTTCCTTGCTCTCTGATCCCAATTATATTCCATTTCATTCAGACACAATAAAGAAGTTGTGAAAGTGAAGTATACTTTAATAGATCTTGACGAATATTAATTTTTCTACTCTAACACAGTTTAAAGTTCTTTTATTGTAGATTAGCATCAATTACTCAATTTTCCAAAGAATGTGGGTTTTTACATGGGCTCGAGGTGCCAAGAGTTACATAATTCTTCAAACTGGGATAACAAAAATGTGTTACCAGTTGTTACCCCATAATTGAATGACACATTATTGTAAAATTGTTTCAAGTTTATTAATGACTCCTGGGGAATGCCACTTAATCTTTTATTCTAGAATTTACGACTTCCTTATTTTACTTCTCCCGTTTCTATATTTCCCCCAATTCTCAGATACAACAGTGGTAAATTTACATGTAAATTTTATGTGTAACATTTATGTTATATGTATTTCACACATATGTTAAATATACATAACATATAAAATTCCACATTTTAACCATTGTGAAGTATACAATTCAGTGGCATTTAGTGTATTCACAATGTTGTATAACCATCACCACTATCTAGTTCTAGAATATTTTCATCATCCCAAAAGGAAATTATGCAATCCCATACATATACATTCTAATAATTCTAAATTATTGCTTTCCATTGCAGGAATTATTGGTTTCCATTGCAGGAATTATTGGTTTCCATTGCAGGAATTATTGGTTTCCATTGCAGGAATTATTGGTTTCCATTGCAGGAATTATTGCAGTTCCTCTGATGGAACTGAAAAAGAGAAGCTCACAAAATATGATAACAATTATCTAACTTTCAAAGTATCTCTTTCAAAGCCAGAGTGAGTCTTTTCACTCTACTGAGAAGCAAACATGAACTAGTTCCTGATTTCCATTTCCTGCATTGCTTAGGGCAAGCAGACATACCAGCAACTTCAAGTTCAAGTTCTCAACTTATTAACAAAGTGTGCTGCTTAAAAAGGAAATTTTCAGCACCTCTTGGGGGCAAATTGCCAGCATTTTCCATCCGGGTTCCTCGGAGGAAACCGTCGTTAATGCTTTTTATAAATAATGAGAGCATTTCATCTTGCAAGTACTTAAAAGACAATCACTGCATTTGCTTTTAGAGGGTTCGGCAAAGTAGGTTCTCAGCACGCTCTCTTCAGAGCAGGTGTCTGGGATTTAAAAGTGGCCCTCTCACCTGATTCATTTCCCGGGCTTTGGAAGGGTCTTTGTTTGAGAGCACTAACTCCCTGTGCATTCATCAGGAAGGCACCACCACCGTCAAGCTCCACGAGGCCCTCTGAGAAATCCGCCAGTGCTATAAACTACTGACCTTACCCTAAACCCATCTGCCTGCAGGCCAGCTGACTCAGCGTGCCCTGCCAGCCATCCGCACACACGTGGTATTCCGTGGCAGCTCTGTGAACAGTCAGGAAGGAAGAGGAGTTTGACGTTTTGGAAAGCGTCACTGGGGAAAAGAAAAAGAGGAAGACCCTAATTAAAAACAGTTCCTTCCGTGAAACCAAAGGGTAACTGCTTCATTTGCATGCGTTCGTTTTTTCTTATTTATTTTGGTTAAGAATCTTTCGCTGCATACCTACCTTGGGCGAATCTCTGCTCTCTGCATGAAAAATGAGAAATGCTCTCCCCCTTTAAAGAACTTAGTGAAAGAGACAGTTCTTAACTTTTCTTTAGGAGTGAGGGGAAAGCCAGAGGCAGGCCCTCTCCCATGAGTTTACCCAGGGATTTGCATAATTACAAGGAGTGAGTTGCAACTCCGTTTATAGCATTTCCATTAGAGAAGGCATAGGAGAGTGCAAGTGTGTGAGGGGGTTGTCAATATAGGATTAATTTGGTGCATGCGCTAATTCCTACTTTATAAAAGAGCATCCTCTGTGATTAATCAGTTCCAGATCATTGATCAGCACAACTGATCACAACACACGTGAGAATGTGTAATTTGGCCAGATAATGCAAAGGACTAAAATAAGAGCTGAGTGAATGGAAGGGGTACTAAGTGCGAGAAGAGGGGATTTACCAAACTCAAAATCACAAACAACAACATTGGAGATACTGTAAGTCCTAACGAGTAAGGAACTAGATGGTTAGACATCCCATTTGGGTCTAGAGCAAGAGTATAGGGAAGATGGAGGGGCCACTTTAATATTGTCTTCTAGGAGGTGTAGACAATAAAAGCAAAAGACAGAATCTTGATAATTATGGAAGCCGGGCAAATAATAAAAAGTTTCCAGCAATGACATGGTGACAAAAATTTGAACCCAATTTTTTTTTTTTTAATTTTCATTTTGAGGCAGAGTCTCACTCTATTGCCCAGGCTAGAGTGTCGTGGCGTCAGCCTAGCTCACAGCAACCTCCAACGCCTAGGTTCAAGCGATCCTCCTGCCTCAGCCTCCCGAGTAGTAGCTGGGACTACAGGCATGCGCCACCATGCCCGGCTCATTTTTTCTATATATATATTTTAGCTGGCCAATTCATTTCTTTCTAGAGATGAATTCTAGACCCCCCGTCTCTTTAGTAGAGACGGGGGTCTCGCTCTTGCTCAGGCTGGTCTCGAACTCCTGACCTTGAGCGATGATCCTCCCGCCTCAGCCTCCCAGATTGCTGGGATGACAGGCGTGAGCCACCGCGCCCGGCCCCGAATGCTTCTTTAATATATATATATACTATAGACATTGCAAATAGAAGAAGAAGGAACTTGGGGAGGAGATTTCCTATGAGTTAGAAACAACACACACGGGTCGCCACTGTCGGCTTTGACAACGGTTAAAACAAGACAGGAGAACTTGGTTAGCAAAGTCTGCGAGGTCGTCTGAGACTCGTCCAGGTTCCAGGCCTGGCAGGCGCCAGGTGTCCCTCGGGCGGCAGAAGCCGGGCTCACCGCAGTCCCACTCGTCCGAGCTGTCCCCGCAGTCTGGGGCTCCGTCACACCACCGGTCACGTGACACGCACCCGTGGTCGACACACTCCAGCTCGTCGTCCTGGCAGAATGCTGGCACAGAGAACAAGCAGGAGGACTGAATCGTTTGGACATGAACGGGACCGTCACCAACATGCATGTTCTCTTTGGGCAACAGGTGCGCGGAAGGAAGGCAGGCCATACGTGGCTGCCATGGCCTCTGAGTATTAAGGCAGAATAGCAGAATCTGTAGTCATCTCTCATTTAATATGCAAAGAGCTTTTAAGCAGAATCACTAGTTTCTAGCTACTACATTCTCTATTTCTGACAATCGGGTTGGAAAAGGGGTGCTCATAGCAGCAGAAATATTTTTAAAAAAATTAAAGAACAGGGCGTAGATTAGAAAATACACCCTCCTACAGATAACTGAATTGCAGAAAGAAGCACCGTGCATGGAGACTCGATTAGAAAAAGATGCTGTTTGTTCTAGGCTGCTCCTGTCCCAGGCTGGGCACCTGGCATTGGCCGGGAGAGTTTGGGCAGGAGCTATCTTGCAAAAGTCCAACCTACGAAATAATAGCCCAAGGCCCTGATCTTAGAGCATGTGCTTATTCCCGGACACCTGCCATTCCCAGCGCCAATGAAGATGCTGATGAGTTGAATCCGGCCGTGGCATTGTTCAGACTATCCTTTTCTTTCTGAGTACAATTAGCAGTCCGGGAATAAGCACGTGCTCTAAGATCAGGAGCTTGGGCTATGGTTTCGTAGGTTGAACTTTGCAAGATAGCTCCTGCCCAAACTCTCCCGGCCAATGCCAGGTGCCCAGCCTGGGACAGGAACAGCCTTGGAACAAACAGCATCTTTTTCTAATTGAGTCTCCCTGCACGGTGCTTTGTTCTGCAACTCAGTTATCCGGAGGGGGTGTATTTTCTAGTCCACACAAAAGAGCCCCACTGTTAGCTCGCTGGGACTCTACCCAAGGTTGAACAGAGGGAATCCTTTAGTGAAGTCTTAGAGATAAGGAAGGCCAAGTTCTCTCTTTTCTTCCCACTAGATGTGATCAAGGAAATGGAGCCCAGGAGCTCTTGGCTCATGTTTTGACCATGGCGGGAGCCAGCCCGAGATGAAGCTGAACTGAAAGAATCGCAGGCACAGTGCTGAACTCCTGCCTAAGCCTCAACAACCCACCCTACGCTTCATTTGTTATAGGATAATTTGAAACATATGTGACATGTATGATAGTAAAAGATACATGTCTTCACTGCGTATCAGATTGAGTTCAGCCTTCTGTTAACTTGTAGGCAAAATATCTTATGGGACATTAATTTTTTTTCTGGTTCTAAAAGAAATGGCCATTCATTTAGAAAATGTAGGAAAGACAGAAAAGCACAAAACTGTAATAATTTCATCACCCAGAGATTATCATTGTAAACTTTTTATTATGACTAGCCAATCCTTTTCTGGATGTGGCTATTCAAAACTCATGACCATAGTGCGTGTAATACCATATATTTTGTTTTATTCAACTAATGATGTAGAATGAACCTAGGAGAAGCTAGTCTTCTCTAATTTGATTTTAATGGTTGCATATTATTTTCATATTGTCATTGCATTTTATGACCCCTGTTTTTGGATATTTGAAGTGTTTCTATTGTCCCATGTGATAAATAATGCTAGAACAATATATAGTACATATATTTTATACACATTTGATTGCCTCCTTGCCAATCTATGGAAAGTACATATATTTTATACACATTTGATTGTCTCCTTGCCTCTATCTTTACAAGTGAAGTTTTGGTTGAAAGATCCAGATATACTAAAAGTTTTTGATACATATTTAGAAATTTTAAGCTTGTATTCAAAATGAGGGGTAACCGGTGTTTAAAAATGTTGATGATTTATAAAATAAACATAGTCTTTGGAAAACAAGCGGTAGTTATTTTGGGGACAAAAATAAAAGTTGGTACTCTAATGTGTTTTGTAAATCTATGGTGAATTTAATGAGCCAAATGAGCCAAAATGAAATATTTGGTACTGTTGCTTTTGGGCATTGTCTGCAATACATCTCTGTCTTATTTCACTGCTCAATATTTAACTTCTGTGAAGATATGTTCTGTAATCTGGCATTTAAGGAAGCTCGATGTGGCAAAAATCACATGCTGCAGAGCCTACACAAATGACCTGTACTGTACTTAGAAGAGGCATTTTGTTTCAGAATATCAAAGTTTTAATAAAATGCATTGGATATAGAAGAATGGAAATAACAAGTTATTAGCTATTGTGATAATTTTGTCGTCACTAGTAACAAGAACATGTTGATCTATAGAGTGATTCTTGATCTTTAACTGTGATGTCTACCATATTATTCTGCCATCCACTTTCCAGTAATAAGAAACTTTTCATATGTGTATAAATGCTACGTATTCCTTCTTACTTCTAAGACTTCCAAATCTACTATGTCAAGAATGAAACCTGGTTTGGATGATTAAAAAAAAAAAAATGTTGACGATTCACGTCGACACTTACAGCAGTTTTTTTCATCCATGTCATCCGGACAGTCTGGAAACCCATCACAGATGAGTGTGGGCTGCAGACATTGTTTATTGGATGGACATTCCCAAAGATCTCTCTCTTTACAACCTGGAAGCAGAAGAAAAAAAAAAAAAAAGGTCATTTGCAACGGATGCAGAGTCGAAAATAACAATGAATTTGATCAAGTCATGTAGGAAAACTACAAAGGCATGATCTCCTTGTTTCTTAAAGAGCTTTGACTCCTGTATACCATGAATAATGTTCATTTTGAAAGTAGAAAGACCCAATAATCTACATAATGTGATATAAAGAGTGCAGTTCTCCTAAGAGAAGATCAAAAGTGACATAGGGCAAAAATGGGAAAAAATGGAAATGCAAGTGCACGTTAACATGCACCTTTAGCTGTTCCTTTGGCTTTCTGAGTCAATTTGCCAACACAGAAGACTTGTCTACAAAATGATGAGTTGTGCTTTTAAGCAAATATGCCTAAACCTAGTGATCGAAATGTATATTATCTTAAAACGTAATTTCATTCAACAAATTGAGAGGCCATCTGTATGTTTAGCAAAAGAGGCTCCCTCCACGCCAAATTCCTACAAAACCAGCTTATAAACGAGGTGTGAAAGTCATCACTCTATGGTAGTCAGAGATCTAAAGTTGGGGCTGGGCATGGTGGCTCACGCCTGTCATCCTAGCATTCTGGGAGGCCGAGGCGGGAGGATGGCTCAAGGTCAGGAGTTCGAGACCAGCCTGAGCAAGAGCGAGACCCCTGTCTCTACTAAAAATAGAAAGAAATTAATTGGCCAACTAAAAATATATAGAAAAAAAATTAGTCAGGCATGATGGCGCGTGCCTGTAGTCCCAGCTACTCGGGAGGCTGAGGCAGGAGGATCGCCTGAGCCCAGGAGTTTGAAGTTGCTGTGAGCTAGGCTGACGCCAAGGCACTCTAGCCTGGGCAACAAAGTGAGACTCTATTTAAAAAAAAAAAAAAAAAAAGACTCTAAAAAGATAGGAAAAAAAAAAAACCTTTTGGAAAACTTTTGAAATCAAGTTGTAGTAAATATCAGAATCAGATCTTTGAATACATCCTGAGGGGCTTTGACTCTAAGAAACGGCTCAGGTTATATTTTTAAGGGTTTATTTACTCGAGCCTAGGAGAGCAAAGATAGATGACGAAGTGATTTCTTAAATTATTTGTATTGCTGGAGACCTTTCAACATATGATGTCTATACTTTTACTTAGAATCATGATCAATTAGCAATTATGGTTCTAAGTTCATATAGTAATGGACTTGATTTTGACAGTTGATATAAAGCACCTGTTCTAGCTACCGTGTTTCCTTGAAAATAAGACCTACCAATAAAATAAGCTCTAGCAGGATTTCTGAGCATGTGCGCAGTAGAAGCCCTACCCCCAAAATAAGCCCTAGTGATGGGCGTGGCTATGAAAATCAGCCCTAGTGGTGGGCGTGGCTATGAAAATCAGTCCTGGTGATGGGCGTGGCTATGAAAATCAGCCCTAGTGAGGGGCGTGGCTATGAAAATCAGCCCTGGTGATGGGCGTGGCTGCGCAGTGCATCTGCACAACCCATGCGTGTCATCGCGGAGCGGGAAAGAACACGAGCAGCCCTTCTCATCTGCCCCGTGACAGCTCTAGTGCTCCACAGGAGAGATCGGGGCCAGTGGTTCTAAAGGAAATAGAGTCCAAGACATTCAGGTGGAATTTGGGTTTGGAGAGTGATGATGATGTTCCAGAAGACGACGACTTCACTCTATTTGGATCAATGTAGACGGTTACCGTACTAAAAAAAATAACACATCCCCTCAAATAAGCCTAGGGTGTCTTCTTGAGGAAAAATAGAAGAAGACCCTGTCTTATTTTCGAGGAAACACGGTATATTTTAGAGACGAGGTCTCGCTTTTGCTCAGCTGGTTCAAACTCCCTGACCTGTAGCGATCTCCGCCTTGCCTCCCAGAGTGCTAGGGTTACAGGCTGAGCTACCGCACCGGCCTAATAGCATGTCTTCTTAAAGTGTATTTAAAAATTAAGCGCCTTGGCTACCATGTTTTCTTCTACGAAAGTGTCAGAGAAATAGGAAGTCAAGTAATTTCTAACACATCATTTATTTTCAACTAAATGAAATAAGTACCTTGTTTGAGGGAAAACCAATAACATATGTACAGTTGGAGGAGCAGCAGACTTCATGCGGCGATGTGAGAAATTAATTGTCACATTGTCAGCAAAGTCCAAACTATAAAAAAATTAATGCCTTCTCAATAGCACAATGCGACAGAATTGAATTGGAAAGACCATGAAGCTGGGGTAAAACCACGTTCACTGGAGTCTGGTGTTTGCATTGCCAGATGCAGGCCCTGGGTACACGTGGAAACAGAATGACAGTACAGCAAGTAGGCAAAATGGGACGTGAGACTCCTGTTAGTTCCCCTTTGAAGACTCATCAGCTCAATTCTTATTGATTTTAAGGGTCGTCCTCCCAGAACACGGACAAACACACAAAGCTGCATACCCCAAAAGGGAAAAAGGTTTTTTATAAAAGTTTCATTATCGTCACTTTGTAAAACTCAATAGTGTTTCTCGATAAAATTAATACTGCTGGGAGCAATCGATTTAACTCCAATATGATAGTTTCTTAATTTAACTTCCTTAACTGGAGCTCTCGAGTACTGCTGTCAAATTGATGTTGATAGCGATGAATACAATATATATCTATCATTTTGCTGTCCTTAACTAATTAAGGTACTAATGAACACGTCATCCGGTTAATCAGAAAGTCTGATTTTAGGGTCATTTAAACGCGTTAACCTGCAATATAAGACTTTGGACTCTTTTGCAGAATGATTCTAGAACTCAGATCTTTTAATCTTGGTAAAGCTGGTTTTTTTTTTTAACACTTTATATTTCTCAAATATTTAGTCCCCTACGCAAATTAGGTTAGCCACCTATAGAGATCATAGCAACTTTTCCGACCATCTAAAGTAATCCATGTTCTAAATCACATCTCAGATACCATACTCATCAAGTCATAGTTACCTAAACAAATCTATCTATTCTCAATAATCACTACAGTACCAGGATAGTCAATTAAGTTTAATATTTATTTCTTTAAGGACGACAACACAGAACAACCAAACGTAAGGTTCCAAACGCTGTTATGTTCACCATACAACAAATTCACCCTGGCCATTGTATCAATCATCCGCCTGTAATTTTCCGAAGATCACGTTGTCCATATTTATGGTAGCTGAAGATTTCAGATTGATTGCCTTGTGACCACTTTGTCTAGAGCAGAAGGCCAATGTCTAACCACAGAAATTCATTTGGAGAGCAACCCGCCATCTTTCAATACTCAAAGGCCAAAAAGATGAAATGATTTCAAAAATTATTGCCCTGTGTGCCTTCTCATTGAAAAAAAAAAGTGTCAATGTTTTAAAAAGCTGGACAAGCTAAACAATCATAAACAAACCATTCTGGGGACAGAACTTCATTCATTTTGCTCTCCTCCGGCGACATCATCTAAAGCGAGTTTCCTGATTTCTATTCCCTGACACTTTGAAGTTGCAAGCACAGAGGCTTAGAAGGAAATAAAATGAGAATTAGCTCCACTTAAATTACCATTGGCATTTCTGGCCTTTCCATTGGTGCTTTTGGGAGCTCGACAGCAGAAATGTCAGGAAGAGTTATATCCTGTGTCAACAGGGACAAAGTAGGAGAGGGCATGGAAATGAGTCCCAATTAAATTTAAATGTGAGAGGTCTGAACTCTGTCTTTGTGCATCTAGATGTCTGCTTAGCGCATGGAAATTATATGCAAAGACACCACTATTCTGACTTTCGAACAGATAACAACTGCTTTATAATTGAGTCATGAACATAATTCTTTACATGTGTGAAGCGTTGCCCCCTTTTCCCAAGTGTTTGTGCATACAGCAGTCCCCTTTATCTGAGATTTTGCTTTCCATGGTTTGAGTTACCCACAGTCAAGCATGGCTCAAAAATAGGTGAGTCTAGTACAAAGAAGATATTTTGATGCCGGCCGCTGTGGCTCACGCCTGTAATCCTAGCACGTTCTGGAGGCCGAGCGGGAGGATCGCTCGATGGTGAGGAGTTCGACTACCTGAGCAAAAAGTGAGAACCCTGTCTTACTATTAAATAGAAAGATATTAATTTGACAACAATATATATAGAAAAACTTAGCCCGGGCATAGTGGGTGCATTGCCTGTATCCAGCTACGGGAGGCTTGAGGCACTGGAGGATCGCTTGAGCCCAGGAGTCTGAGGTTGCTGTTGACTCAATGGCTGGTACCCAACGGAAGCAACTCACTCGTAAGCCTGGCAACAAACCGACTCTGCTAAAAAAAAAAGAAGAAGATATTGCAGAGAGAGAAATCGACAGTCCATAATTGTATTAAAGATAAATGATCAATGATGTCATTTCATTATTGTTTGTTCTAACTCTGCTGTGCTAATTTGTAAATTAAACTTTACACAGACACGTATGTATAGGAAATACATAGTCTGTATAGTGCAATTCGGAGCTATCTGTGGTTTCCCAGGCATCCACCCGAGCATTGGACATGCATCCCCATTAGAGAAATGGCGGCAGGGGTGCCTACTTGTACTATATCTGAAAGGTATATATGAAGTATTTATATATTTATGGAAATTCCAAAGGTATGGAAACACTTCAAGCTGCAGGCCTTGACTGTTTGGTAATATAATCAGCTCGGGCGACCATAGCAAGACCCATCTCTTCAAAAAGAAAAAACAGAATTAGCCACCATGTGGTGGCGTGTGTCAGTATCCCAGCGACTTGGGATTGAACCAGGAGTGATGGCTTGAGCCAGAGCTGGGGTTTACAGTGACTGTGAAACAATAGCCAACTGCCACTCCCAGCCCTGGCGATCTGAGTCAAGAACGAGAGGGATGACGACAAAGGAAGAAGCAAAGGAGGAGGAGGAGGGACCGGACAGAGGATGGTGAAGGAATGGGAGGGGCTAGAAGATGGGGAAGGGGAGGGCAGGAGGAGAAGGGCAGAAGGGGGAAGGGATGAAGGAGGGGGGTAGGGTAGAGGGGAGGAAGGACCGAAGGGGAGAAGGAGGAGAGAAC